TGCAATCTATAGAATTATAGGGAAATCGCAAATTTACAAAAACCTATTTCCAATTTATTTCTGATAAGATCAAGTTCGTGAATAAAATACGAAATAAAGTTCTGTTGTATACAACACAGCAATTAATTTTCAGAGGCGAACCAATCTAACTAGGAAAGTAAAAAAGGAAATAAATAAGGTGGATTGAGAAAAATTACCTTAGCCTTTCTCTGAGCGAGTACAGCATGCACTTTTCCAAGCGCTTGGCTTGCAGTCGTCACAGTGCACCTAAACTTTGCGCGACTAGATGAGCCAAAATTAGTGCAAAATTTCTGAGACGCCATTTTTGCGAGTATATTTTTAAAGGTTTTCAAAGCGACACACCTATACATTGCAGCAACGAGTCGCAACGCCAGCTTCTCCGCGCCGGCTTTACATGTTGCTCGCATTGCTGTCATCAGTTGTCCAGCTACAGCAGCATCCTACAAAATTCTATTGAATTGAACTTTAACCGATAGAAAATATAATTAAGAGCAGATATACCTAAAAACCCACATCTTCATCGACAGTCCATTCCTCAACGATCACAGCGACACCTCTCATTATTTCATGACATAATGGGCCAGCCGTCACAAAAAGTTCAAAACCGGATATGATGGCCTGGTCGAAAGGGCGGCAATCAAGATCGGATCCTGGAAATCAGATTCGGACTAGGGACTGGCGAGTGTGGTGTCGCTTGGATTTTTATGGTATAAATAAGTGAATAGGTAGATAACCATTAAAGTACTTGCTAGGTGTAGTGTAAAATGTATATAATTCAACAGAGACATCTTTAAAACACTTACAAAAACCTTAAACTAAATTCTTATTTTCCGTGAAAATTCACCCAGACAGATAGATACTTACGGCTCTCCCAAATAGACTTTCTCTGATAGCTTGGGATTCCATTGAACAGGATGTTGGCTCTGGCTCTATCTGGGCCGAATGACCATACCTAGAAATAATTGAAAACTCAAGGCTACTAATATTACCTATGCTTAGAAACATACTCTTTCCACAAGTTCAGCGACCTCCTCTTTGCTTTTTCTATGCCACCAAGACCCTCGGCATGAATGAAGATGTTCATTACAAACATCCATTA